GGTCGGTAGTTATGGATGTGTTTAGATTTCACTATATATTTAGTGTATTTTAGGAAAATCTAACTACTTGGTTCTTGTATAGAACGAAAGGTCGTGACCTAAAGACGCTTCCTCAAGCGCAAAGCTACGGCATCCCCGCTGCAAGCTAAGTCACTTTTTACCACAAACCTCGTTTCACGAACACGAGTAGTTTCCGTGCACCGATGGTATCCTTATATCATAAGCAGACTGTACAGGATAATGGTACTTTAACATATAAACCCACGAGGCGGCTGCGCTTTGCACAAATGATAGTGTACATTTATGTGCTTATATCAGAGATTTAAGCTGCCGGGATTGAGCTTTCTCTAGCGCGGGATGCTCAATTTGGGACCGGGTTTCGTGCCCCGCATTACACTATGGGGCTTTTCGGTCAGTGGGACCTCCTCCCACCCAACTATCACCCCCCCTGTGGTGTGACTGCTCGTCCACTTTAGTGACCTATCTCTGGCCTCCTCCTATGGGTATCGAACCAGGTACGTCCCGGTAGCTACAGCCACTTGAGCCAGGGATCGGTTACGTACTTACATCAGAACAGGCAGGTTATGATCATTGCGATTTCTACACGATAAAACTATTTTTGGCTGAGACACTATGGCTATAATAGAAAGTATTACAATATAAAAATATGCCGATATTTGCTTGTGATGCTTGTCGTTAGCAACGGGCGATATAAACTTCTCGCATCCACTCGTCCTAAGTACCTAATTGGCATTCTCGCATTCTCTCCACGTTTCAATTTTTCGCTTTCAAAGGGAAAACAAAATAGAATCGTACAGTACAGAGGTACAAAAGCTGGCTCTCTCCTGATATTCTAGAAAATTCGTGCTGACTTTCTTTCTTTTCTGCTTTTTGATCTATTAAAGCTCTTAATTCTGTGGTTGACAAAAAAACACATATTGAATAATTTGTAGTGAGATTTTATCCCACACTTTCAAACCCGATTATGAGCTTAAACTGTTTCAGCGCCCGCGCCGTCGCAGAGACTGATTCAGAGTTAGAGGCGGCATCGAAATCAGTGGAACGTACTTTTAAACGGATGCAATTGTCTGAGAAAAAACGGGATAGTTTACGACAAGCTATCAAGGATATACGAGCTAGTAAAGCGAAGGAGATGGAAGCACATCTGCAATGGCTCATGGAGCAAAAATCGCGTTTGGAGCAAGAAATAATTACGGTCAATCTACAGCTTGAAGAGAAGAGAATGCGACTTGATGAAAGAAATGTTTGACGATATCAGCGTTTTTTTAAACAAGTAATTCAATTGATGAGGAGATTCTACGCTTTGACTCTTTTTTCGTATATTGACAAAATTTTGAATAGAGCGGATAAAATGACTAAGCTTGAGACGAAGACTAGCTGCACCAGCAGGGCTCACGTGCTTAAATGAAGCGGCAGCGGGAAGACCCAAGGACAAACGAAGTTCACGTAGTTGATAAGCGTTGGCAGCATCTAATCAATTGATATACCCTGGAATTCCATCAAGCACCTTGAACGGTAGCGTGGTACCTACATGACTGAGAATCGCAGCCGGGTTCTCATGTGGATTGCAACCATACTTGAGTGGAAAATCAGTGTTAAATACTAGCGGAAGAGTTGGAGCTGACGTGCCAAGCTCACCGTTAAACCACGACGAGATCGACGAGTCGTACGACGCCGCGAGGGAAAAGGCTGCAGCGGCGCAGCGACGTCGAAATTTAATCGAAGTGCTAAAGGATTCGTTTTTGGTTTCGAGCTCTTGAACAAGCGATGAGTACTGCGACGGACTTGAGCAAATGACTACAGCTTTGTGATTCTTTGCCGATGAGTGCAGCATGGATGGTCCACCAATGTCAATGTTTTCAATGCATGCGTCGAAGTCTCCGCCAATAGCTACAGCAGCTTCAAATGCGTACAAGTTAAGCACCACTTGATCGATATTTTGAATGCCATTAGCAGCCATGTCTGCCTCGTGTTGCGCATTGCCACGCACTTCCAATAAACCTTGGGATGTAAAGTCTTGACACGACCGTCCATAATCTCAGGCGAGACTGTGTAAATTGAGACAATATCAACGTGGAGCTTGGCATCACATAATGCTTTGGCTGTGCCCCGCCTGTGGACAATAGCTCCACTCCATGTTGTGATAGATACGTCGCTAGTTCTACGACACCTGTTTTTTCGGATACAGAGAGAAGTGCACGCTTAATGGGCACCAGGTACGCCTGCGAACTGCGTGCAAGATATGACTCATGGCAGAAAAAAAGCTAAACTATTGTTTTGTTAAGGTTGTACGAAATATAGCAACAATGGATAATTAAGCCAAAAGCGTGAATTTATACTTTCGCTTACTTTCGTACCACGAAGCAATGAGAGAAGAGAAAATTCGTGACAGTTTGTTGTAATATGTAGACTCTTCGGAATGAGCTCGATATGGATTGTACCTCGTTCATTTCCACGTTAGTCTGGGGTACCACGTGCTCTTTTGTACGCTTGGGTCTCTAATTGATCTGCTAGGTTTGTTTGTCGGAATGATCCTAAGCTGACGGTCGTAAGCTTCATTATTAAAGGTGAAGCATCTCAGTTTATAGGGCTTACCACTGTTTTTAGAGCAGAGCTACTGGTAGGAGGTAGTCTCGTACTGAAAGACATAATTGCCATAAGTGGTGTTTTTGAGCCAGTCATAAGACGTCACAATAGCTATGTCAATTTTGTTGCTCATGTCCTTCTGCAACCTTGTCTCATTATTAAGAGAGGATACGATACGTTAGAACAAGCAGAAAAAACCAGAGAGACAGATGACTTCTTTCAGACATTATCGAGAAAAGGACATCCATAAAATACCGTATCAGGAAACCAACAATAGACCTGCTTTTTAGGAACGGATTCTTACATGTCATAAGGATTGATAATTTCTAACCCAAGTCTGCAAGTCTCCGTTTCGGATGAGACGAGGAGCAATCTATGAATGTAATGTTAAGCTAGGCGAAAGGAGGGTCCCGAGATCATTTAGGCAATAGTAAAAAGCGACAAACTCGCTATCTGTTTCATCTGATGAGATGAATTACATTGTCGATAAAGTATCGATTTATGCGTTCATGGTAATACGCTACATGTATCAGTGGAGATATGAACTGCAGACTTGTTATAGATGTTGGTCGGATCAGGAAGAATGCAATCGATGAATATAATCAACAACCACAACCAGAGGACAGCCTATTTATTCTGAGATAATAACCTATTTCTTGATTTTATCAGGAAGCCATCCTCATGAATAGATATAGATATTACAACTATGGGTGATGACTCTGGTGTTGCAACTTTGGAGCAGCTTGTCGGGGGGCGATATACGTACAATCAGGACAATGTGCAAAATTTTTCAGATAATTTGAGTCTGATTTTATCCGTTTAAGAAGATGGTCGATTATGTATTCATTTTCTCTATCAAATGTCTCCTAGCTTCTCAATGATCTTGCTCGTGTCAGTATCCGACAAATTGGATGCTGTTATGCGTAAAATTGAATGATTAAAGATGGTGTCCTGGATATTTCCATCGCTAGAGAAAATATTGATTAGACCATAAACATGATATCACTCTTGCTATAAATTTCATGATCCTAGCTGATTTTAGGTTGGGCTTTTCTGGCATGTCTAACAGCTCATGACTTCTGACAAATGAATGATTTACAACGTGCAGATTGTTGTGGACATGGGATCGACTGCAACGAAGTCTTAGTACGAGAGATGAAGACAGGATTCTACATATAGCTAGCTTCAACTTTTATCTTGTTTCCTGAGGATGATTCACGATCGCAGTTTTTGTGCTAGTCTGCTCATTAGTCTACCATCACACTAAAAATCCTGCTCTATTCCGTCTTGCTGATGGAAATAGACGAGTTGTTGTTTATGCAATCGGAAAGAGAGTTGGAATCGCTCTCACTCACTGGGATCGGGTTACTAGGCTCCGTCGAAAATTCTAAGGTGCCCGACGTTAGTACAAAACGAGATAACTGTCGACTGGAAACGTAGATAGGAATGGCGCTAAAACGAGAATGCTGTAAGTCTTGTTCATCTTGTCGTGCTATTTCGGAATTGAAGATTGAGACGGACGAAGATGTCGAGTTAGAACCGCGAGGAGCTGCAACTAACTCAGGAATGGGAGAAAACGAAGCTTGCTCTTCGTTGATTTGATATGGAGGAGACAAAGACGATGCGTCTGACACGGTTCTGGCAGCTGTAGGGCCTGCAAAGTAATCAGTGGTGTTGGAATTGTTGTATTTGTCCATGTGAGCTTGTCGTTCAAGCTTTTCCTTTCGCCGAATGACTACAAGAGCGATAAGACTGCAAATACCTAGTGAGCCCAAGATAATGCCGACCGAAGTCGAGGCGCTATTACCTCCTCCAGATGACATGTAAATGGTTTGAGCGGGGTCAGGTGATGATGGGCTTGAGGATTCCACAGCGGATTTCGGCATTGTGACGCTAGTATTGGCTTCCGTATCGACCTTGGGAGTCCTTTTCCTGTGAAAAACGGTCGAGAAATTACTTCCCTTTACTGTGCCAAGCTCGTCCTTGTCATCTGCAATTCTATTCTCGTAGAACGAAGAATAGATTGATCTCGATCCGGACGAGCTTTTCAAGCAGCACGAGCCTTGAAGACAGAATGTACTGACAAGTCCAGCATGATCAGACGAGTAGCAACCATTGTAGTTAATACGTGAAATTTTTGACTCGAGATGACAGGCATCTTTATTCTGAGCTCGAAACATAGTGTAATCATACTTGGTAGAGCAAGTACCAGACAGCATATCACCACAGAATGTTCCATCGTCGGATGGATCCGTTAGATCATTTGCAAATAGCATTCGCATAGCCGGGTAGCTTTTAAGAGCATTGAAATCTCCCATGAGTACAATCAGGCCATCACTTGGGTCACACTTGGTCTTGATATGCTCTAGAATAATAGTTGATCCCTGAATCTGGGCTGCGTCATTACCTGGAGTCTCGTAGTGTGTATTGAGCACGCAGATAGAGGCTCCTGTCTTCGTGTGCTGAAACCGACCCCAGACGCATGTACGGTAATATATCATCCCCCATCCAGCCGACATGACGTCTGGATTCGTTCCAAGCCAAAACATGCCGTTCGTTAGTATCTTCCATGTATCGAAGCGATAGTATATGGCATTCCATTCATTGGCCATGTCATTGAGATGACCCGTGTTTTCTCCAATGACTGAATATATATCTGCAAGCTGGGCATCTAAGAAAGTCTTTTGAGCGTCGGACGTCTCTTGAGTACCGACAAAGTCGGCAGCCACAGTCTTGATTGTATTTACAACATTAGTCTTACGAATGCCGTCCCAATTACCACAAGAAGATCGTGCGTCGATTGAAGCCAGCGACGTGCGAATATTAAACGACAACATGTGTACTTCAACGTCCATGACACCAGCCACCGTTGTGAGTAAGTGAATAATAGCGAAAAGCACCACTGCGTGCATGATTGAAGAGCTATGATTATTACTAACAACGCTTATCGAAACTGAATGAGATCCTTGTCACAAGAGGTAGGGATAAGGAAATGACAAGAAGTACATTTCCAAATGAACAATAGAATGAAATCATGCGAGAGAGGGTACGAAGCATGGAAGCCGCTTCATTACAGTAGTACTTGCAGATGTCTCAAAGTCAGAAGAAAGGCGCTCGAAAAAAGTCGTTTGAGCTGATTACGAAGACTCAACTAGAATTCTCGAAATTGGAGGCTGGATGCTTAAATTGGAGAAGATCCCGATTAATTGATTGTATTTCCAATGTAGTTTATCTCTATGTTCCTCCATCGAATGTCAAGTAAGTTCTGGACTGCTTATTGGGTCTGCGCTCTTGACTTTTAGTCACAGAAGCGTCAGGTCCGAACCTAGCAAATCTCGTACGAAGCCAGAACTGAATTTCAGAGGACCTCAGACTATATCAAATCTAAGAGTTCTCCTGCCTTGATTCTTTACATCATCGAATTTCTTTAAAAAATTCCTGAAAGCCATGTGGATCTATTACATGCACTCAAGGTACCTTCAGATATATTTATTCGATCCATCACGTCGATGCGCTGTGTAAGACGTCTTCCATTTCGACCATGGGGCTTTAAGGCAAAAATAAATATAAATCAAGCTAAGACGTATAGCCCCGTTGGACGTGATTATGTGTTGATTATATGCCAGGAAAAATATTACTAAAAAAGGTACCAATATATTTTGACAACTTTGAACATCTTTCGCTACCAGTATGAATTGCAGTGATCTTTTTTCTGGAAACCCAAATGTATCCAATTAATAAGCTCACATGCTATCATCGAGTAAGCAGCAATGTCTTACTCTGTGATAAATTTGTTACTTTCGATCGAATCAGTAACAACATCATTTCTTGAAGCAGACACATTTTTTTGTGACTTATTCTGTGACGTTGCAGTTTATTATTGTTTTTGTGTGATTCGCATTTTTGTATCACCGCATCATTTGTGTCCAACTTGCTCTCAAAATTTGAATATTTATAAGCTGTGTAACGACATTTGATGGCTCAATTATCATTAGTGCTAACGATGCTGCGTCAAAAAATGACCGAGGGATGGTTACAAGAATATGTAGACAACTGGCTTACTACACAGCACCATATAACTTAGGGAATGTACAAACTTTCACTTCACTGTTATTAGGTATTTAGGCATATTTATACATTGTTCTTCGGCCAAATTCAAAATAAAGCTGATGCAACGGGAGTTGCCGACACAGAATTGACGTAGAAACAATCACCTTGTGTATCTTCTCACATTTAGGACAATGTGGTAATTACGGTTGTACGAGGGTTGTAATTGTGAGTATAAAAAAGTAGCGAAGTTTTGGCCGAAAAATCCGCACGTCAGAACATACGGAGTATTTTCAATAGATAGTATGCGTATAAATTTAGTACTTGTTTAACTGCCTTTATATATGTGCATTTACTAGAACAGCAGACACCCAGTGCAACGGAGTTGCCGAGCGCTTTGCACGGAAACTGTTTCAGAGTCCATATTAGAAAGCACAGAGGCTAAGATTGTGTGCTTCCACCGGGAGCGGACGCGAGATTTCGTATGGTAATAAACTCTGTTCAGTCTTTTATTTTGAGTGTAACGGGATCACACACACAAGATGGTGTGACCACACAGTGGTGTGGCTTCACTAAAACAACCAGTAGCTATACAATTAATAAGGTTTTACTGTTGGGATGACACCACTGAATGCATGTTAAACATGCGGATGACGTCATACTTATTACAAGTACGTCACATGAAGTAATTACGGAGTAAGTGATTACGTACACAATTAAAGTTACTGATTGGCTAGAGTAAATCAGGATCTAGTATAGTGAGCCTAGTATATAAAATGATT